GTGGGGAGCCGCACCTCGTTTCTTGACCTGCACCACCATCTCTTCGTACTGCTGTCTGTGTTTCTGAGCTTCTTCGGCTGGTTTTGCTGGGAGATTTCTTGACAGAAAACAAAGGGGTTTTCACCATTACAAAAACCAGGGAAGAAACTTTGAGGAAGAAAACAGAAGTGTCAGTAAGAACACGGAGCTGGAAAGCCCAACGTGACACTTTTGTAAGAGGACGAGGTCCTACACCCCAGCTCTCCTGCAGAAGCGTTCTTTTAATGCTAAAACCAGCTTGCTGGGGACAAGCTCAAGCAGACAGGTTCCTAGGAAAACCCCATTGTCCTCCTAACTGTGATGAAGACCCGTGGGGGCCACAGACCTCCCAGGCGCTCGAGCATGGCCCCTGCTGGCCGCTGTCACACGTGTCAGCCTCTGTCCCTGGCTCTGCTGGCCGCACGCCTCATGTGACCGCACAGACACATGCACACTGTCGTCCCACAGCTCTGAAAGCGGGGTGCAACGACAGACCCCGCTCAAAGCAGAGGCGAGCTTGCTGTCAGGGGTGTGGGCCACCTGTCGGGCTCGGATGGACCAGGGGCAGTGGCGTTCCTCTGTGGCTGTGTCGTGGTCCAGGGGGTCCCTGTGTAACTCCAGGGACACGACTCTCCCCACCTCACCCCGTGTACGTCCCAGTACACAGCCCTCTCTAGACAACCCAGGTATCTGAAGTCCATTTCACTCTCCAGCATATCCTTGAGCATCTGTGAGCAGTGTCCGTCAGGGCCCCCCGGGCACCCGTGAGTTCATTTACCCCAGTGCCCCCCTGGGAGGATGTGCCCCTCACGCCCCCCGGGCACCCGTGAGTTCGTGCCCCTCAGTGTTCCTTGAGCACCTGAGTAGGTGTCCCCCAGTGCCCCCTGCGCTATCTGTGAGGATGTGCCCCTCACGCCCCCTGGGAACCCGTGAGTAGGTGTCCCCAGTGCCCCCTGCGCTATCTGTGAGTTCGTGCCCCCTAGTGCCCCCTGGACACCATGAGAACACAGACCTCAGCAGCGTCCTCTTCAGGGCATCCTGAGGCTCTAGAACATGTGTCCCCTCAGCACAAGCTGAGTATCTGAGACCTGCCCCCTCAGTGAACCTTGAAGCGTCAAGGATGTGACCCTCAGCCATCTCTGAGTATCTATGAAAACGTGTCCTTCAACCCACCTGAGTAAACATGCGTGTGCCTCAGCTCTTCCAGTGTCTGCGTTCACCGCCCAGTATCAACGAGTACACGCTCCTCAGCTCTCCACTGAGTGTTCGTGAGAATGTGGCCCCCAGCACCTTCCTGGGGTCCCGTAAAGGCACGGCCCCGGGTGCCCTGCGAGCATCTGTGAGGAAGGGTCCCCTCAGAGCTCCTGAGTACGTGTGAGAAGCATCCCCTCATGGCCCCTGGGTATCTGTGAGGACACGGTCCCAGTGCCGGGAGGACACGGCCCCAGTGCTGTGAGGACACGGCCCCTGGGTATCTGTGAGGACATGGTCCCAGTGCCGTCAGGACACGGCCCCAGTGCCCTAGGTATCTGTGACAACACGTCTTCCCGCCTCATCCCTTGGGTATCGGTGAGGACGCTGTGAGGGGCTGTGGTTGCTGCAGGACGCTGCGTCCACCCAGAGGCGGGACCTGTCTCCACAGGGCAGCGGTCTCTCCACCACCTCAGCCTTGTCATTTCCCAACATGACATTTCTGCTCGCACCCCCCGTGGCTTCTAAGGGCCAAGAAAGAAAGAAAGGACACACTCCTCCCTTACACTGTGCCTCTTTGAAACCTTGGGGTGCGAGTACCCCACTCCCAGGACACAGGGGACCCTGCTGCCTGACTCAGCCATTGAAAACTGTGCACTGACCGGTGGCTCTCATGTCCCTGTCCCAGACACCATCTGTCACCAGTGACTGGACCCTCCGTCCAGTCGCTGTGAAGGCCCCCCAGCACCACGCAGGCAGGCCAGGCCTCGGTCCCCACCCAGGCCCCCTCCTGGAGTCCCCTGGGGTAGAAACCACCCATACATTACAACCACGGCTTCCACATCTCACACACTAAACGAGGAGCACATATGACTGGACAAGCCCAGTCCACCCTCGATGCCCATCACACGGTGGACAGAAGGGGCCTTGGGAGCGGCCACCCACCCGTGGCCCCAGCTCTTCTAATAGAAAGGTACCCTTCCCAAGGACAAGCCCAGGGCCTGTGCAGACACTCACGGGGGGCGGTCTTCCAGGATGAGGGCGGTGGTGGACAGGGGCTCAAACTCAAGGTTCTTCCTCACATTCTGCTTCGGGGAAGGCGGCCTGCCAGGTCGTCCAGCCTGGTCTTCATTTTCCTAAACAAACACAGTGCGGTAACGTGTCAGCTCTTACAGGATAAATCCCAGAACCCTACAAGCAGCTCTGAGTGGGCCCGCCTGGTGTGACCATGTGCAGCCTCTCCTGGGACACCTCTGAGGATGGGACTCTTGGTCCCCAGACATGATGTCCCCTTTGCTGTGAGCAGAGGCAGATCCAAGTTCAGGGAGGTGGGAATGAATCCCAGAGGGGGGTGTGAGTTGGGAGGCAGGGGCAAGTTCTGGGAGGTGGGTGTTGAGTCAGGAGGCAGGTGAGTCCCAGAGGCGGTGTGAGTTCCGGGGTGGGTGTGAGTCCCAGGGGCAGGTGTTGAGTCGGAAGTGGGTGTGAATACCAGGGGGCAGGTGTGAGTCCCAGAGGCGGTGTGAGTCCTGCAGGAGAGCGTGAGTCGAGAGGTTGACGTGGGTCCCGGGGGTGGGTGTGAGTCCCAGGGGCAGGTGTTGAGTCGGAAGTGGGTGTGAGTACCGGGGGGCAGGTGTGAGTCCTGGGGGCAGGTGTGAGACAGGAGGTGGGCGTGAGCTGGGAGCTGTGTGTTGAGTCCTGGGGAGTGGGTGTGAGTTGGGAGGTGGATGTGAGTCCTGAGTAGCAGGTGTGAGTCAGGAGACGGGAGTGACTCCCACAGGAGAGTGTGAATTGAGAGGTGGGCATGAGTCCTGGGGGCGGGTGAGAGATGGGAGGCAGGTGTGAGTCCTGAGGAGTGGGTGTGAGTCCCGCAGGTTTGAGTCTGGAGGCAGGTGTGAGTCCTGGGGAGCGAGTGTGAGTCAGGAGATGGGTGTGAATCCCACAGGTGAGTGTGAGTCAGGAGGCAGGTATGAGTCCTGGAGGTGGACTGATGGACCGAGGAGACAGAGCCAGTACCAGGGTGGGTGGCTCGGTGAATGTCCCTGGGCGCCGGGGCACCTGCAGCCTGTCCACAGCAAGGTGCAGGTGCTGTGTCTCTGGACACAGAATCCGAAGAGTTCCTGCTATGAGCCCTGCGCAGAGTCTGGCCGGCCACTCCCACCTCCAGCCCTGTGTCCCCTGGACCCCACATGGGTTTTCCAGCCTGAAGCAGTTTATAGGCCTGTTCTCCAGCTCTGGCAGAGCAGTGGTTCCAAGCCTGACTGCTCTGCACGAGAAAGCAGAGACGGGGGCCTCCTCAGCAGGCAACTGCGGAACCTGCCCGGCAGGTCTGCACTGCTCTGTAGGGTCGTGGCAGAATCAAGCAGATGATAAGGGCATTTTGATGCTAACTTCATGTATCCATTATGTAAAAGACCAAAAACTACTGAAGAAAATGAAAACAAATCATGAGAACCAACACACGAGCGTGAGTATGCCACTTGACTTTAAAAGAATAGGTTTGAGGCACTGAACACCAATGACTGAGGACTGCTAAGCTGTGAGAAGACATTAAGGATATCACCCACAGACAGTGCAAAACATCACTTCAAAAACAGAGAAAGAAAAAATCAAAAAGGCTATCAGATGAGACCCTGAAAACAGCACCAGAAAATGAGAACCGAACCAAAGGGAAGAAGGCTAAATAAACCCTGGATAGCAAAAGGCAGCTCAAGAAAACAAAGCAGGAGTATAGGGTCCTGTCTAAAGGAGTAGTGGGAGGGGCGTGTCTGGGGCGGGAAGGGCGTGTCTGAGGGGGTGGAGGGGGTGTGTCTGGTGTG